AATTTTTTCATCTCAAAGGTGGTAAACGTGTAACCCCAGCTTTAAAAGTCTTTTCAGGGAGGGTCATCTCTCAAATGCTTTGTGGAATTGAAATCTGGAATATGAATCAGAATAACCTACACCATCTTGAAGTAGGACAGAATAAATTTTTGAGGCACATCCTCGCGGTACCCCAGGGGACCCCAGCAGCTTTTCTTAGAACAGAGACAGGTATGGTGCCCATTAAAGCCAGGGCAACTCTAGCTGTATTCTCTTACTATAAGAGGGTGACGGATATGCCCGACCACTATCTGCCTAAACATTGTATGGTAGAGCAATGGAAGAGTGGTGGCTGGGCAACTTCAGTTCAAACTCTACTAAAATCTAAATCCCTCTCCACAGACATTTTTGTTTTTTCTTGGGCTAAAAGAATGTTGAGGGACTTGGATAATGACCAAGACTTATCCTTAATCCACTCTTCAAATTTCTCTCACTGGTACCATCTGCTGAAAACAAACCACTCAAGGGCGCAACACTTACATACACTTACTTTTCCCTCCTTGAGAACCACATTCACAGAACTCTGTTACCAAGCCATGCCAACCACTGTCTTAGACGGCAGATACATGAATGTCCCCAAGCATCTGAGGCTGTGTATTTGCGGAGCAGGTGAGACAGAGAATGTTGTCCACTATTTACTTAATTGTCAGCTCTATCAAAACCCCAGAGAAAAATTCCTGGGTGACATTTTGGCTGCTCTACAGGAGGAAAGCCCTCAGACAAACGTGGTCAGGTTACTTTTGGATTGTGACCCATATATTGCATACAGAACAGTGCTGTTTGCAAAAGCGGCCAGAAACATGCGTGCTAATTTCCTGAGAGCCATTGTGATCAATTGTGTGGGAGACTCCCAGATATGAATGGTCTCTTATTATTTTATATGCCTGTGATTTTATTCTGATATTATTTGATTATACAGGTATTTGTATTTTAAACAATTGTGATGGCTTTTAGCTAATACAATAAACTTGAACATAATGACTAACGAAGTCCTCTCAGATCAATGAGTAAAATATTTAATAACAGATCTTGGAAAAACGTATTTTTATAGACAACAGCTCCCAATTACCATTCTGGGAGTTTTACCTCAAAAAAATTGACTGAAGTTGCTTCCAGGTGGAGTGGGTTTGCATCTAGTACCAGAAGAGATGTGTATCATTGTACTAGTTGCTGGGGCCTACAGGCTGGGAGAGTTGAGATGGGGTGCAGATGGACTCATGTCGTGCTTCTAGGCTTCCCATAGGCAACTGGTGGATCACCATATGAATGCTACATTAACTAGACAAGTCTGATCCAGCATGCCTTATTTTATATAGGCATAGTAACTTTACTAGTGTTACTATGTGAACTATAAGGTACTGAAATAAATCTACAGTTGGTAGAAGAATTAAGGAAGAGAAGCACAATTTTCTGGCAGAATTTAAATGTTTGACATACTGTGTTTTATTTCTGCCCGAAAAGGAATGCATAAAGCATTTGTTGTTTCTGTTTCTGTTATTTTGTTTTTCTGTTGTGAGCTACCCTGATTCTCACATCTGTTTGTTTGTTTTTCTGACTATACTGAGACAGTGAAAGAGAGAGGGAGAGCAATGCACGTCTTTTTAATAAAGAACAAGGCAATACTTACCTTTTTAATAAATATATCTCTACAGTTTGTGGGAATTTCTTCCTGCCTTATAAACAGCCCCAAATTATTTAGTTTAATTGAAAAAGAACATATAGGATTTGCCTGGTTTCATACCTGAAACTCAAAGGTATTTATTAGATGTGGAGGGCTTCTTTTATTCAGCTAGGTCAGTGTTCTGCTTTTATACAAATCAAAATCGTTTGAAATCGTCAACTTTTGTGAGTTTCAGAGCCATCTTGCAACACTTAGAGCTAGATCTGACACACAGAGCAAATTTTTTTTTTATTTGAAGACAGGCTTTATAATTAAGTCAGCAACACTGAAAATGTCAGCATTTCACTTTCATGGAACACATACATTTAGGCATCGACATGCAGTACATGCAAACAGAGATGCAACATTAAAGCATTAATGAGAAGCTTTACCTTTCGAAAATGTTCTATCATACACTGATTAAAATTTAGGAGTGCTGGCAAGGCTGGATAGTTATTTGGTGGATTTAATTTGGCTTTCTCTTGATCATTTCTGTAGAGGTTTTTACATGGAAAACTACTTTGCACTGGATTATCACACCAAATGAAAACCTTCAGGGCTGACTTCAAATATAATATTTCTCAAGCATTGTTATTTTTAAAAAACGTTTTTGTTCTGGAACATTTTATATTTTTTACAAGGTACTGCAAAGAGGGGCAAAAGTGATTGCCTTGTATCAAAGGTCAGGGTATATGAATGCATCCCCGTACCTGATGCAACAATCCTGCTGCCCCTATGGTGACAGAATAAGGCAGACCACAGGATCACAGCAAGGGAGAATGCCAGCCTCAGCAAAAGGGACAGATTTCCTCCCATGTAATCCCTAGTGAGGTCAGTGTGGCTTTCTTTGCCTCAAGAGATACAGATGCATAGGTGAATTTGATTAACTTCGTGGTATTGTCATGTCTTCATTTTGTTTGCTACCTTATGCACTCGAGCAGCAGAGAAGAGGGACATCTTGACTGCAAACAGCTGATATTAATCAGAAAAGAAAGGATCGAGGGTTTGGGAAGATAGGAGTAGTGAATGGGTGATTTCAAAATACAGAAGACATTAGTTTGACAACAAGCCAGTAAAAGATGGGCAGAGCTCTTTTCAAAATATTTCCAGTGATACTGTGGGTGTCTAGGGTTACTGATTTTTCCCTCCAGAAGGCAAGGTATTTTGTGGCACTTTTATCAAGAAAATGGAAACTAGAAGGCTTCTCTCTCTCTTTTTCTAATGCAAATCATGATGGCTTCTGTTGTCTTGAATGGACTTCTAAAGATTAGAAGTAGCAAAGAGTTTGTTTGCATCTTCTAAAATCAACCAGTTCTGTGATTGCTGTGTTTGTGTGCTTTGTACATATGAAGAGAGCAGACACAGATTTTGCACAGACAGTTTGAGCAAAATTACAGTGAGCTTCATGGGAAAGAACAGGGCCCTTTGTCTAACTGTCGCATGGAGTCAAGTAATCTTGCTGTGCTTGGAAGTTTCACATTAAGGTGTTGTTGTTGTTGAGTTGAGAAAGCCTAGATAAATGACAGCAAAGAATTCAGCAAGCATGTTTTATAGCCCTAAACTTAATACCTTATTAAGCAGACAGGTTATACAGTGTTTTATTTCACTAAGACTTAAGGACAAGGAGCTTAAAGAAGAGACTTGGATGTGCCATGTTAACTACATACACTGCTTAAGAACCATTTGTGTTTCCTTGCAATATACATTCAGACCAGATTTATCTTGGTTCTGGATTATTGTAGCATCACTTCGTAAGTCATAGTAGTTACTGTGATAATAGAGAAGGACTTCAACAGTAAGGGACCTCAAAAGGAAGTTAGTCCATCAGCTGCTCTCTAGCTCTTGGCACACTACAAATGTTGATGAAGTTGAGATCTCAGAAGACGTTCTTATGGCAATTACATAACCAGTCAGGAGATCATAGCATTGTTTTACTATTGTGAGATGGGTCAAGCTTATTATAGAAAAAGTGCCCCATTTATGTGAATACTGGCAAAAGGTATATGAGTTTTAATTGCTGATTTAGGCCCCGGCCACATGAGGGAACTGTTCTTTAGTTATCCCCTAGTTAGATTGTTGCTTTTTCCCCCCTGGTCACACAGTGCACCGTCAGGATCAAAACATTTTCCTGGCCAGCAGTTTAACTGCAGTTTCTTTTCAATTCCCTGGGAGGGTTGTGTTATTTTGTATCTGTTGTACCAGTGCATTCCTTACTGGAATTGCCTGTGTACATTATCTGCCTCACTTCTTTTCAGAATTGAACCCAGGAAGATGGCCGCCATAATTGTGGCTTGCATATTACTATTATTTTATTTTTTGTGGCCACTACAGCAGTATGTTGGTAAAAGTATGTCAGAGCAATTTAAGCTGTTGCTGCAGTACTGCCATTTTGACAGGCTGCTTTTTACCAGTCATTGTGAGGAGATAGTTGTGGGGAGTGGGAATCAGTATAATAGAGGTATGGAAAGTATAGGAATAACTAGAGAACATTTCCCTTGTGTGACCAGGGCCTTAGTGATTAAATCTACATTAGCATTGATATAAATAAAACAATAATTCTGATTTTTTTTTAAAAAAAAATTCATTTTTAACTGATGCTTGTCTCCATGTAAAACCACCTGGCAAACTCCATCTTAAAAGGTCCTTTAAGCTTGAGAATATTTCTTGTCTGAATGAGTGATACATATGGATCTGCAGCTATGGGCAAAAAGCAAAGCGTGGCTCAGCAACATTTGTATTTCAGGCTTTGTTTAAGGGAAACAAAAAAAGCAAAAACGCAAAGTGTGCTGCTTATATACCGCCCCATAGCGCTTCAAGCACTCTCTGGGCGATTTACAAGTAAGTTATACAGGCTACACACTGCCCCCCCCAGCGAGCTGGGTACTCATTTTGCTGACCTCGGAAGAATAGAAGCCTCAGTCAAACTTGCGCTGCCTACCTGGGATTTGAACCCAAGGTTGTGAGCACAGCTGCAGTACTGCCATTTAACCACTGCGCCATGAGGCTCAGAGACAGAGAGTGCTTCCAGACTGCATGTTAGTTAAAGCAATGGCACTAGCTTACTATTTATATGTAAAAATTGCAAAAAAAAAAAATTCGCAGAATGTGTAAGCACACCTATTGTATCAGAGATGGATATTTTCTTTGCCTAATTTATATTCTTTTATGTTTCACCTATTATAGTCTCCTGAATCTAAGGAGTGGTCAATATGACCAGATAGGCGGGGTATATATATCTAAGGAGTGGTCAATATGACCAGATAGGCGGGGGATATATATATATCTTGCTTTTTGGTTCCAGCTCTTTCTCCTTGTGACTTGGAATTTTGAATTGTACATGATTCCTCTGAGTTTGTTGTTACTCCTGGCATGGAATTACTTCCTGATCATATCAGGAAAGGATAACAGACAACACGATACAGTAAGTCTCTTTAAAGTATGCATTGTTTTTTGTGGAGTACATATGTCCTCATGGAAACAGCTTTTTATTCATTTCTCTGAACTTTGTGTGTGTGTGAAGAGACCAGGAAAGGTTAATGATATGGATTACAAAGATCTGTTTCAAGTTCTAAACTGTGCACCGCAACTATGTTTTATAAAAATAAATCATATTTTTCATTTGTGCTCCTTAGAACTGAAACAATTCAAAGTATCTGAATCATACAGGCCAAGGATCTATGGAGTGAATCAGTCAACACTTGCCATGGACAAAGCTCATAGAGATTGGAGAAAAATATGTTTTGATCCAAGAAACAGAAATTCTGCGAAAACATTTCAAATTGTCTGTTACAGAAAAAAATGCAAATCAAGAACTAATCTTTTTAGACTTAGTTGCTAGTAATGAGATTTTGCAAATTTACTGGAATAACAGACATTCCAGGCTATGAGGTGTAACTGGAGTTGTGAAGAATCTACGCATTAGGATTATAATTGTGGCTCGCATATTATTGTGTGTGTGTGTGTGTATCAAAGTACTGTTTGTGTCATTAATAGGTGAAGTAGTGAAGATGCCCAGCGAGATTGTGTTTTATGGTTGTTTTATGGTTTTGTGCATGCTTTAAAATTTCCCTCAAACTCAAGGATAGTGGTAAATAAAATGTGCTGCTTATCATCTATAAATCTCTAAACAATTAATATAAAGGATGTTTCTCTAGGACAAGTATGTTGGACATTTGGAGCCTTTAGATGGAGACATAGTTCAAATAAACACATATTAACACTACATCATTCTCTTTATAAGAGTGAGAAATACTGCTTGAATTCATTAAAACTAAACATATAAAGATATGTGCCAACTATGTATTATGTAAAAATATATCTAAGTGGAATTATATAATCGTCTTCATATTAACTAGGTACAGATAGCGGACAGTGAAACCTATGGTTGCAAATAATGGTTGATTTACTTTCTTGCTAGTTATTCTGCAAATATCTCAATTATTTAAAAAAAATCTGTTGATCATATGAAGCTGTTGTTTAATGAATGCTATGCATCCAAAGGCAGGTGAGAATCTTGCTTTGTATTAGATATCTGCCTAAAATGTCAGCATCCACATTTCCCTTTCCCAGACCAAAGTGAAGAAATGCATTCTGCAAGAAACCTATTTTATGTAATTTCTTTAAAGATCGAGGTGTCTGTTGTAGCAATCTTTCTTTAAGTCTCTGCCAGAACAATATATTCAGCCTTAGTGGCAAACTCATCATATTAATTATGACATCTGACAGTTCAATTAGATGTCATAGATAACTACTATAGATAAAATAGTTTAAGGTCAAATGTTTAACAGCTGCCTAGTTTTATTCAGGCTGTCAGAGTCTTTCCGAACAGTATTGCAGGTATGCTATATTGTTAGTGTCACTTGTTTATAAACAGCAGCCAGATAATCCATATCAAGATGGATTTTACACGCTGAGGCTGTGGATATCATCATGCAAGAAAATGCACCTGCTTAAGGTGTTGAACACCTTATATGGTTGTGCCTGCATGTGTGCTGTGCAGTTATGTGTCTTTTGTCCTGAGGCAGGCTGTATCAAATCCAGAATTGCTGGCAATTTGTAAGAGATGAAACGTTTTTTTTTTAGTTTTGTTTTTTGAAAAATGTCTTCCTGGATAGTTCTGTTTGAGAGAAGCAGATGCTCGATTGTGAAAATGACCACATAAGACACAGATACTAGGTTTATTGACTATGGGGAATCTTCAGCTTGACCTAAAGTACTTTCAGGTGACCTGCAATAGTCAGAGTGGTTTTAGGCATGATCTTCAATCCATAGACATTTAATAATTTTATATTATAATTACACATAAGAACTGTAAATCAGCTGACACACAACCACATGCTGTGGTTAGCTTGTACAGAGACAAACGGAAAATGTAAATCAATTCCAGATTCTGCACAAATTCCTTGGAATCCCTAGAGTAGCAACACTGACTCAGGATCCAATTTTGTTCCTGTTGCAGGAAAGAAGTCTGGCCACTGTTTTGTATTAGAATACATTTTTGCAACAGATATATTCTGTCAATAGGATTTTCATGTGAATTCACTTTATGGGCATGATCCAACAAGGCACAATATTTTAAAGTGATAAGTGGTCCTTTGATTCCTTAGAATTGTTATGCTCCTATGATCCTTGCTAACAGGCATCTACCTGTAAAGAATTACTGTCTTAATAGAGTAATATTAGGGGGAATGTGCAGCCTCTTGTAATGTTATGTAACAATCTGGTCTGTTCAGCCTAGGGGTGATGGTTATCTGTACTGGAGTCAATTTAGGGAGTGTCTGCTCTACCCACAGCATTGCATGTATTAGCATATTACCTTGTCCACAGACCTGCTTCTTCAAATGAAATACTAATCTGAATTGCAGTTATGCACTTAATTTGCATGTTTAAAAGGCTTATTGATCTGTGATACTCAAGCTGGATGTCAATTGTCTTCTATACTCTGAATGCTGTGGGCTCGAGAAGTTAAGGTTCAACTGTGTTTCTAATTTCCTTTCTGTGGTATATGGGTCAAGGCTGATGCTTAAGCCATTTGGAGCTGTTTGCTCTGCTCTTAGCTTTTGTGCTTTCTGTTTCTGGCAGGATGTGGTCTGGCTTGTATAGGGTTAGAAGATCGGGATTCCAGCACCTCCATTTTTGGCAGGGAGAATTTGGATGGCTTGATTTTTCAAGGCAGAAAATTCTTGCACAAGACAGTTGAAAGGCCCATCAGAAAAAGAAAGAAAGATAAAAACACTAACAGTAAAGGTTTAATAAACAGGATGACTAGAGCATCTAGCGCAAATAGGAAGTAAATCCCATCTGAGTGAAGCCAACATGGAGGATACAAAAGGTAATTCAAGGTAGAAAATAGATGAATCTAGAGGGAGGCAAAGAAGAGAGTACAGTAGTCTGGGAAGCAGTAATTGGCAATTTGAATACTCAAATGGGTAGTCAGACAAAGAGCTTGAATCTTAGCTGGAAGCTTTGAACTGCAGCAGTCCAATTTATGGTCCAGAACAAAACAAGTCATTGCTGGAGAACATTTGATTTCGTGGGCATTCAGATGGGCATCTGACTCACTATTTGATTCATTTTTGGTGCACTTTGATTCGAATGAGATTATGGCACCCAACATGTTTTTGAATAAGTGTGATCTTTCTACCCCTTTTAAAACCTGTCCCACTCCTTTCTAGTACAGTGCTAGGACTGTAGTTTGTTAGATGCAATTCAGAGAGCTTTTAATTATCTATTCTGTAGGCTGTGCAGTTGGTCAATTCACGGTTAATCCATTCCCAAATAGAACCATGGATGGTGCTCCTGTGGTGACAACCTTGTGACATATGTAGTGGGTTGTGACATTAAAAGGTACAACAAAGAAATCAGTTCCTCTATTTTAGTCTTCTCTTCCTTTAAAAAAAACACATTTCTCTAACTGATGCAGCATAGTTCTAGATAAATTCTCAAACACTTTTAACAGAGCAGAAATATTCTGCTCACAATCTTTCTTCTTGTTAAGATGCAGCCATACAAGTTCCCTAATAAAAATTGCCTCTGATTTAAAGCTAGCAGAACCATAGGATCTTTCTAGTGCTTCTAGCCTCTCTTTGATAGTTTTGCATCCTTAAATATATATCATCTGCTTACCTGAGAGGTATTGTCAAATTATTGCTTTTCCTATAGAATCCTCATCTTCCCGTTTAGCTTTGGGCTGCGGTTTCATTGTTTTTTGTTTGTTTGTTTGTTTTGTAAACAGCCATGCGCCTTTAAAGTTAGGAGGTTACACTGCAGCTTTTCTTTCCATTGAGATAAATTCAGAGTTGTTAACTCTGGAAATTTCCCAAAAAATGCCTTGCAGTGATCAAGATCCATTTTTCCCTCTTTCTCTTTCTGAGCAAATTTCGTTAGGAATCTCAGAAAAGAAATGACAACTCTCTTCATCTGGTTATGAATTGGGGTTTTTTAATTAAAACGCAAGGGGAGAGAAGTAAAAAATCACAAACACACTGAAAAATACCAAAGCTCGGGAAATATTTGTTAGCTCTCTGCCTGTTTCTCTGGTCTCTGAACCCATAACCTGTTGCACAGATTTGAATTTCTACTTAAATTTCCCTTTGCTACAGAGCAGGACTACATAGAGGAGAATAGCTACAAGTTCCTTATTGTCCACCCCTTTCTCATTAACTGGCACTTAAAGTCTTAAGAACTCACTCTGAGATATTTGTAGGAGAAAGATTAAAAAACATTTCTTTATTACAATTGCTTTAAATTGCAGAGTTGTGCATGCTGCTTTCTTTATTGCACTCATACTTGGCAACTAACTGACTAGATCAACAGCAAACAAACAACTGCCACCGAGCAAGGAAAGAGAGGAAAAATAATACTCATCAGAGTGGCACAGCTCTGAAAAGTCCCTTCGAGTCACACAAGTTACAGAGAGCATGCAATTGCAAATAAAACGCCAACAGCAGTGGATCATATGCACTCCGAAAGCTGAAAAAGAAATAATTCTATCTCCTTTTTATAATGTTTTAATTTTTGCACCTTGTGAAATGGAAAAGGCAAGGGTTCTTTAGTTATGTTGTGCCATTTATTATTAAACAGTTAACACAATAAGGTGCATACTTCTGTGCAGTATGTGAGGCTATCTTGCGTGTGCTCCTAAGTGTCATTTGTATTAGTGTAATAATCGGGGATCTGCACTAGGAATCAGGTTCTTTCAATACCTTCCACTGCTGTGTGGCATATACATCTGTGACAAGTGACATTACAGAAGGTCATGTCACTTTTAACTGCTTGCATTAGAGCTTTCTGATTTCCCTGGTGCCTTTCCTTTGTTTGATTAATACTACTTGATTTCAAGCTAGGTTACAGACAGAAAAATGTAAAGATAGGATCATAAAGCAAATTTAAGGATTTTTCTCCTTTAAATGAAAAGGTTAAAAATATTATTTTTCTTAAAGGTTATTTCATAACAGATACCATTTAAAATTATTTAGATTTTATGCTATCTAGTACATCCAAAATGCTGAAGATAGTTAGCAAGGACTTGTATAATACGTTCTAAATATACATCTCCAAATAATGTATACACTTAACATGTTAATTCTGTGGACTAAAGCTTCTCATCCATCCACAGACTTGACTGTATTATTCTCAGTAAGATAATGTGTAGTTTGAACAGAAAGACAGAATCAGAAAAAAGCGGAGGGAGTCAGGTTTTGCCCATTTTGGAATTTCCTAGGCTTTCTGGAGGAATTATTGAAAGAATAGTTGCATCTCCCCAACATAACAATTGTTTCTAATGTGCAAGAAAACCCGATTTTCAAGGATATTTATCTAGTCCTACCACACACACACTGTCTACAACAGGTATGGGCAACTTGTGGCCTTCCTGATGTAGTTGGAATAGTAACATCCATTATCCCTAACAGTGAGTGGCTGTTGATGATGGGAGTTTCAGTCCAACAACAACTGTGTATTCACGAGTTGTCCACTTGACCCTACAAAACTTTTCTGTTCAACCATAGTTACTCAATGTGATTAATAATTTCTAAATGGGGATGAGGGGAGGCTCTGGAAAAGCCTCCTATAATAGCATCATGCAAAAAGTCCTCTTAATGATAGATGCGAGAGGGAAGTTAAGATTAATTTCAGACCTATGGTACATAAAGGTCATTTTATACTATATACAGGCTTAAGATGAAGGTTACTTTTCTGTATAACTCACAGTGTTAAGGGAAGCACCATCTTCTATACAGTAAGCTATGATATTGGTGTACTATACTCATCCTACCTTTTCATGTGCAAAGGGTATTTTCCTTGGGATACCATTAATATAGAGTTACATATATGAGACATATATTTAAGATACATGAGTATCTTTAATTTACATGAGTGTGTTGTAGTACTGGGCCATAGAAAGGCTCTTCTGGCTCTATAGAACTCTGGCTGTGTTTGATAAGCTTTGGCTTATCATAACAGGAACAAGTTGCATCTTGTGTCCATTTGCTTACCATTTTCCTTGTCCTGCATAAGAAGAGGGAGGTCCTCACACGTTTTGGTTTCTGCTTTTAATGAGCCACAACTTGTAATGTCAACTGGACTCAGAATTGTAGTTAATATGTATTAAACTAGTATGCTCCAAGAACTGTGACTTGTAATTTGGCTTTCTTGAAACTTACCATCATACATGTTGACTACAGCTTTGTTAGTTAGAAGAAGACAAACGGTGATTAAACTGAAGTGTAAGCATTAAAAGAGGGCAATTGGAAAGCATGAGTCCCACACTCTATCGCTGCACAGGGAGAGAGATTGTCTGAAAAGATAACCTCCTGGTGTGTCTCCATGCAATTGAGGAGCCTGAAAAATCAGTGTTTCCATTCACCTTAGAAGCTCTATGTATTGTCTCTTCTTCATACTGTCCTTCTTCACATGGAGGCAGCAGCAGGAAAGGAGGAGGGCTCAAACTGTTCATGCTTCTAAATTATCACTATAGGTTTACTAGTCTGAAACGAAACTTGCATTCTAGAAATTAAGTTCTGGGTTATGGAATAGCTTTATTGAATCACTGAAAAGTTACAAATATGGTGATTTGTGAGTTTTCTCAGAAATCTTCAACAGACAACAAAGCAAATAATCCAACATTTGGGCCAGATGTGGTGCCCATGGGTTTTGAAACCAGGCAGCCAGCCAGCAAGGTTGGATGGAATTTTGCACATTCTATATGAGACCAAAGTGTCAAAACCCATAAATTTACCAGCTCTTCTCTTTCTGCCTGCAAAGGCCTGCTACCCCTATATCTCTCTCAGTTGCTTTAAGACAAGAATCAAAGCCCTCTTTGTATTCTTTGAAGGGGAGGGGGGAAGTGGAAAAGGTCTGATTCCAAGAGGCATAGGCATTCGATCTGGTTTAATTTTCAGATAACTCTTAAGTTCCTTGCCTGACAAAGAGTTATAGAAAATGCAGAAGCTCGCCTTGTTTGTAACTTTTTAATGAGCAATAAAGGTATTACCCAACTCAGCCCTTTGTTTCTAGAAATGGAGTACATGACTACTGTTTCTGTTTGTGTTCTAGAAGGAGATGATAGTTGCCAAGAAACCCTTCCATATCTCTGCTTCAGTAAGTCTAGGATTAGACAAATATGTCAGTATGGAAGCTGGTAGTGTGAGGTGTTGGCCATTCCAGGTCCCATTTACTGGCTATCTATTTAACTCTCTTCAGACTTGTTCTTTTGGTGGTCTGATTATAACACATTTTAGACGTGGCTGTTTCACTTCTCCTCCTATTGTAGAAGTTCTCTAATAATTGGGAGTTGGTTCCTCACCTACTTCACACATCTTTGCTTCAGTGATCTTTGCTTTAGCTATATGAGGGGGCAGCAACATTAGCAAATAATATAGGAAATACTCTGCAATCAGAACTGTCAGATTCACATTACTAAGTGAAGCAGGGGACCTAAAACAAAAAACGTTAAGCGAAGCATGGTCCCAAAATCGCTATGTGAAAATCGCCCATAGGGAAAAACGTTATATGAAACACAATCTGACTCTGAAAAAATAAACGTTAAGCGAAAAAAACGTTAAACGAAGCAAACGTTATGCGAGGCACCACTGTATTTTCTGTTAACTACATGATGTACAAGACAATGTAACTCAACCTGGAGTTTTTTCTCTCAATCCATTTCCCCTCCCCCCCCCAGCATCTACTTTTTTGTAGCAAATACATTCACATTAGTTCAGACACTGTGATTGCTTGAGCCAACATAACTTCATGGCTGAATGGGTGACCAGAAGCTGGCTGTTCCGGCTTCCTGGTTGAAGGTGGGGAGAGAGGAAGCAAAAGGGTACTTCTGCATGTTGATTTGTGTGTGCACATCTATCTGTCTGTCTGTCTCTCTCGGCTTGGTGCCAGCACTGATGCATTACAGAAGTGTTCTCCAACCTTTTCCAGTCCGTGGACCGGCTGGGGAAGACATGGCAGCCCTGCGCTGCCGTGCATGTGCGAACAAGCGTGCGTGCTCTCTTACACGGGCAGGTGCACAGCTGCATGAGCACCGCGCTGCCATTTGCGCATGCACCTGAGTGGTTGTGCGCATGCACAAATGACAGCATGCGCTCGTGCAAGGGCCCCCACACGCATGCGCAAATGGCGGTGAGACGCTCGTGTGGGCAAGCAGGAGCATGCGCACAGGCGCAAACGGGTGGTGCAGGGGTGAGTGTGCACGAGGGTGGGGTGGGGGGAGGTCTCTCTCAGCAGCCCGGTCTGGCCCAGGCCAGGGACCGGGACCGGACCGGGAGTTGGAGATCTCTGCATTACAGCATCTAGGAAGCCAAAAAAAAAGTGAGGAGGAAATTGGCAATCAGCCTTCGTTTGCAAGGTCCACCTGGTGGAAGTCCAGCATTAAGTGGGTGTTAGTGTTAACAGTTAAAAAAGAGAATGAAGCAGTTTTCTAGCTGATGGCTTCTAGTGGTGTGTGTATACTTCAATTTCCTTTTATGTTTAATAATGTTTCAAAGTACAAAAGACAGAACAAAACACTCCCTTGTTGACTCATGACACCTACTATGGTTTGTTTCTGCAGGTAGTGGAGGACATGCTAGAGGACGAGGAAGAAGAGGATGACAGAGATGACAAGGTAATTATCTTTCCTAGCACTTGGGTACCTGGGGATGGAAGAATTTAGACATGACACTGTTCTTGCCGACAGTTAAAAAGGAGCTGAAGTGTTTTTAGTCCAGAAAATTGGACAGAGCTGTTTATCATCCTAACAACACCAGTGTTATGTTGTAGGAAGGGATAGAGGACTATAAATCCTCTCTTTATTTTTTTGTCCAGCAGTGGGTCATTTTTTTTTCTCTTCCTCCTACCAGGAACAAAAATAATTCGGCTTGTCTGGAACTTGATAGCTGTTGTGAAGATAAGTGCAGTGACAACTGTTTTTGAAGGACAAAAATTTGTCCTGTCTTGAGTATTACAAATAGGACTGTACTTCCTTGTGGGAAAAATGTGGTAAAAATAGAAACGCCACACTGTTTGAACGTGGTCCATTGCCATCTATAATTTTCTGAGAATTACTTGGCAGAAGAATGTTTGATGTGTGTTACACTCTGTATGATATTTAAATAATCACAATTCTCATTGCCCAGAGGGATGAGGATTGGTACTGTGTGGCCCAGCATCAACCAAAGGGGCCCATGGTAGTTCTAACAACTCTTGAGAATGTTGCTCTGTTCCTTGGTTACTGGGCAGGCTGAGGATTGCCACTACAGTAAATAACAGTGACTTTATACAAGTTATTGAAGCAAGCAATAGGACTACATAGTTGTCTCTGGTGGGGAGGGACGAGGCACAGAGAGGAAATTAGAATGACCTTGTAAGAGGGAAGCAGTGGCATTGGTTGGTCGAGTCAGTTTATGAGTGGAAGTGCTGTGAAATAAATGCTTTATTTAAAAAAAACCTACAATGAGGAGATTGAGAGAATGATTGTTTTAAAGCAGTTGATGTTTGGTATAGAAAACACTGACCTTCACAACTGTTCTTGTACTCTTGTTGTAATAAAGCACTGATTATTTTTGAAGGCAAGAGAAAAAGGTGTGCCTTAATTTATGCCTTTGACCTTTGTTGGGGCCATCTCTGTTCAGTTCTGTATCAGTACAAGTATTCATAGGGTAGCAACCAGCGAACATCTGGTCAGAAAATTCACAGTCATTAGTCCTCTAACAATTAAAGTCCATGTTTTGAAAGACAATATGAATATTTCATTATTGCATTCAGGAGACCTATGATACTATATATTTTTTCTTTTTTCCCTACAAACTGCAGTTATGAAATAACATCACACCTTCATTCTTTTGTGCAAAGCCATGTGTGCTCTGTTTCAATACATGTACAATTGTGTGTACAGGTCTGACAGTAGAATATATGATTTATTGTGAAGGTCAAGATACGTTGGGATAGTAAGCTTCCATATTATTAGCTCACAAGCATTTCTTCTCTGATAAATGTGTCTCTTTTATCCATTTGTGATTATTTTTCCTCTGCTTGCTCATATTTCATTGTAATTCCAGCTTATAAGGCATATCCAGTAAGCCTTTGTATCCATAAAAATACTAATAGTTGTGCCCCATTTGGAAGATATACTTTAGTTTAAATCAATCCTAGCCTAGTTACTACTTGAAATTAGTTCCATTTGTTGTTAAATAGCACAAGATGGTTTTTCTGTTGCCCTCTGTAAAATACATAATCAACCCCCATCTCAAACCAACATGCTTTCTTTTGTCCTTTGTGAATGCAGAGAAAACAGGAAGCTTCACACATGTCTGTGTACTTTATGCTCCTTATCATGTATTATGGAAGATTTGATATGACCTGCTCCAAATGCTCTTGGAGTTGCCTGTTATTGAGCAAAAAAACCTGATATGTTTTAAATTGTATTTTGGTACATCTGAAATACACCTAGAAAGAATGATTAAATGCTTGGGCACCTGGATGCGATGCTTGGATTTCAAAACATTTTATGTAGAACTACAGAAACCAAATGTGTATCAATCTAAATGACTCTTTCTTGCCTGAAAAAGAGGTTTGATTGAATCTCTGTATGTATCCCTGCTGGTTCTGCTGGATTTTTTTTTTTTTAATACCATTGACCATGGTATCCTTCTGGGCCATCTCGCTGGGATGGGACTTTGGAGACACTGTTTTACTGTGGCTCCGGTCCTTTCTGGAGGGAAGAACTCAGAAGGTGGTGCTTAGGACTCCTGTTGGACACCCTGTCTGTTGGTCAGTGGGGTCCTTAAGGGTTCTGTTTTGTCTCATATGCTATTTAACATCTACATGAAACCACTGGGAGAGATTTCTAGAGTTTGGGGGTTTGATGTCACCAGTGTGCGGATGACATCCAACTATATATCTCCTTGTCACCTAAATCTGAGGAAGCTTTTCAGCTTTAGACCAGTTTCTAGTGCCAGTAATGGACTGTATGAGTTTAATAAACTCAAACTTAATCCAGACAAGGCAAAGGTAGTCAGTTGAAAGGCAGATCAAAGAACAGGGTTGCGTCCTGTGCTGATTGGGGGTTACACTTCCTTTGAAATCACAGGTACACAGCTTTGGCATGAATCTGGATTTGTCTCTGAGACTATAGGCCCAGGCTTCGGTGGTGGCCGGAAGTGCCTTTGTACAATTAAAATTAGTGTGCCAGCTGCACCTGATCCTGGAGATCTGGCCATGGTGACACAAGCCTTAGTTACATCCGGTCTGGATTAATGTAATGTGCTCTGTGTGGGGTTGCTGATGGAAAGTGTCAGGTACTTCAGCGGGCCCAAACCACTGCAGCCAGATTGTTAACTGGGGTTGGTTACAGGGATCACATCATCCCCCTGTTACAACAGCTTCATTGACTGCCGGTCTGTTTCTGGGCACAATTCAAAGTGCTGGTTTTAATTTGTAAGGCCCTTAATGGATTCAGCCCAAGGTATTTCAAGGACCACATCTTGCTTTATGAACCTGCCTTGATGTTAAAATCATCAAGAGAAGCCTTTTTCTCGATCCCACCACCTTCCCAGGTGTCTTTTGTGGGGAGAGAGCCTTCTCTGCTGCTGCTCCTAAACGTTGGAGACCAGGCTGGCCCCATCATCGGCATCCTTCTGCAAGCTGGAAAGAACCTTTCTTTTAAGACAAGCTTCCCATTAATGACTAGGTGCCTGAGAGTTATGCCTTATGCCTTTGAATGTGTCTTTGGTTTTACTTTTGTTTACTGTCTTTTGATTCTTTTTAGTATTTGTAAACTTACTGTTTTTAGCATTTAAATATTGTCCTTTAATGATGTTAACCATCCTGGATCCTGTTTAAGGAAAAAGACATGGTAATAATAAAATAAAATAAATTAATTAATTTTCCACTGAATGTTAATGTTTGTTGATGTTATACATGGTATTATATAATTTGATGAAAAAATTATGGAAAATTATTTTGCATGCTGTGTAAGTATTTAGAGATTAGATGCAGTGTTTTTAAAAAGAACATTCACAAAATAGAATGCAATAGTTTACAGTCAAATCCTCAGATATAACTGCATGTGCTTGGACCCAAATGATAGACTCCAAACTCTAGAATCTACAAAATGCATTTGTTAGATTACAATATTTATTTATTTATTTGTTTGTT